CTGCGCCCCGCGGGCCCAGGCCCTGCGCCCCTTCCCCGGAGCTGCGCGCCCAACCTGCCCCATTTCTGCCGTGTTAGAGACCCCTCCGTTTTATTATTCGGAGTTCCGTTTTCCCGAGGTTTTCTTCCGGTCATGACAACAGGTTCAAATGTGGCTTCACGGCCTGCTGCCCCCATCGGTAACGTCTCACCTACGCCTGTTAATGCTCTGTGCAAAAGCCTCCGTTTTTTTTTTTTTTTCTGTGAAGGACGTTTGAAATGTGCAGAAATGGGCGCTTCCCTTTATATACCTTAATCGATAGCTGCAATTAAGGTACTTTTGGGAACACTTAGAGGACATACCTGAGACCTTTAATAATACTTTTGCCTCTGCTCTCACACCATATTAAACGAACAAGGAGCTAGTAAAAGCGGACCCAGGTATTCATCTCCACTTCGGGAGCCTAACGGATATCCCTTTGCAGCTTGCATCTGACTGCCCGTCAGGAAGCGCTGCTGTTTAGGCAGGAGCGGATGACACGGCGACTTCAGTCAAGAGAAGCCAGCAAGAGCGTTTTGCGTCCTGGCGTTATTTTCCAGGGAGGAGGAGGCCGCTGAGGCCCCGTGCCCGCTCAGAGCACGGCTAGCTGCACCGACCGGAGCCGACGGTCTTACCTTTTCCGATCTCGTGCGCGCTGGGCAACGTCTGCTTGCTCAGGGAACTCCGCCAGAGGTGCGTGAGTCATCAGCTCGTGCCTCGAGGACTTCCCGAGCCGTGCTGTTCCCGTCAGCTTGCTGTATCGGTTTTTGCCGAGAATGACCTGCACGAGTTTCGGTCTCAGCAGCGCTGGCCGCCCGTGCGGGTTTGCCCCGCTCCCTGAAGGACGCCTGCATTTTAAAGTGATTTGTGAGCAGCATTTACACAGAAGGGTCTCCGGTGTAAAACTCCTAGCTAATTAACTGCCAGCAGTGAGGGAGGCCGCACAGGCGCGTCTTTCCTTCCCTCGCCTCCTCCCTCCATCCCGTCTCTCCTTCCTTCCTTCCTTCCCTCCCTCTTTCCTTCCTTTCTTCCTTCCTTTCTTTTCGTTGACCATAGATGAAGTCTCAGTGGCCGGCTTGGACTGGGAATTGAGTATGGCACTGCTACATTTTTGATAGGACGTATCTCCCCACTTTACAACTGCTAGCTGTAACCAAAAGCCAAAATAGCCTCCAGCTAGAAAATTCCCCACCAGAAAAATGAACAGTAGTGTCTGAATCTATCTCTCTGAGACACCGGATGCCACGCGGTTGAAAAGTCTCTCTGAGGGAGATGTGCTGTTATTTGGGCAGAGGCCCTTGTCAAGAGACGGTGTTGGTGTGGTGCAAAATGAGCAAAGAGCTGCCATTGTTTATGACGTTGCTGTGAAATCTTTTGTTCCACGGTCACGGTTTTCCACAGCTGAAGCAGATTGTTCCTGGTATTGCAGGACAGTCTAAAAATCTGTCCTGTTAATCATGTGTAGGAAGAGACACATCCTCTGTCCCAAAGCAGCTACCGCCTAAATTGGGGAAATCGGAGCTGACGCTGACCTTTGTTGAAAGCCAAATGCTTACATACATACTTGTCAGGCAAAACTTCATAACAAACCACAATTCCCAGCAATGATATTCGCCATTAGCCTCTCTCCCATCACCTCTAATTAAGTGCCGTAGCCCAAGACATGAACCGTATTTCCTCAGCTTGTCCTGTAACACAAAAGCCAATCCCAGCCTTAGCAGCATCAGCATATATGTCTCTTAGGCATCTGCAGACTGGTGAACTGTATGATGTGTCATCTTCCCAAGGGGAAATAAGAGTTTGGCTTTTCAATAAATCAAAAGAGCCAGCTTATTTTATATTGAATGGTGGTTTCATCCAGAAAAAATTGCTTTATGCTTTATTACTCATAAAAGGCATCACTTTTTTGGTCTCAAGACAAATCTTTTATTTAAAAGCTTAATTCAAAGACTGCCAATGTGTGAACAGTCCCTCCTGTATGAAGTCTGTATACCTTTCTGACTGGAGTATTTTGCCTTTAAAACTCTGACACTCTCTAGTCTCTCTGGCTCCACATGAAAGAGTCTTTCAGGAGGTCTCTCTCGCATGGTAAGAGCCTGAATCATTTATTTCATAGAGAAAGTTTTGTGTGCCAAGTCACATCTGAAGAGATGAGATCTGGAGCAGACCACTCAAGAGTATCAGACTAAATCTTCCTGACAGAGCCCTAGGGGTACGTATAGCTCGAGCCATTTTTAAGGAAGGAAACCAAATGCAAAAATGTGTCAAAATAACAATATTTGTGCATGAAAAGTGACGACTTGAAAACAATCTCCTGCGAGGCTGACTCGGGAGCCTCTCATGGGAGGACCCTCATGGGGACCAAACCCACCAGCCCTGTGCACCCGCCAGCTGCGGCAGTTCTCAGCCCGGACACACGTCCCTGTGAAAATCGCTTCTCGGGCAGCAGCCCAGAGCCTGGGAGGCTGGCAGCTATCATAGCAGGCGATCCCGGTGGTCCCGGGTCTGCGCTGGGGAACGGACCTCGACCACTATGTGGTCCTTGCAGCGAAGCAGTGCCATGAGGACTCTGATTCCCAGGCCTAGGCACGTGCAAATGAATTAAGAGCGGTATGTATTAGGAGCTGCTATGTGACTGAGTTATGAGTATTGTTAATCCCCTTTTTATTTATTTAACTGCAGTTATTTGTTATTCTCCAGCGCATGTAATAGTAAGGAATTAGCATAGTGAAATGCAGTTTCATAAAGAAGGTCCTGACTCTATGCAGAATGTGGACTTGTTTCTGTACAGTGGGATTCTCCTTAAAATGTACCTTAAAGACTTCCACAGCTTCTGGGAATGTCATATCCCCCCATAGGCCAGAGGACTTGAGCTTCACGGCCCAGGCACTCTTACCCATGAAAAAGGAACCGTGTTTCACCCTGACCCCTACCATCATCAGTAAGCTACTGTCTGGCAAAGGGGGGCACAGCCAGCCAGCCAGGCATCCTGACCACCCCCAGCAGCAGTGGCAACGGCAGTAGGAGCGTGTCATCGTGGTCCGTTCTCCTCTGAAGCACTTCTGGGCAATAACGGATCGATACTCTTCTGCTGTTGGTAGCAGCCTCATCCAGACAGAGGGAAAAAAGAGAGTGAGAGAGAGAGAGAGAAAAAAAAAAAAAAAGCAGGAAATTTACTTTTGTCCAGAGTCTGGGATTTTTGATGTTCAGGTTTGGACAGAAGTCGTTAAAGAACTGCTAGACTTGAGGTACTCGGTTCTCTGGTGGACTGCATGTTGCCCCCCGGGAGGCTGAGTGAGGGATTGCCCATGTTGTGGCCCGTCCTGCTTGAGACCTGTCAGACTGCAAGTTGTTGAACTCTGAATTTTCATGATTCTAATTACCATCTTTGCAACCCCTTTTCCTTAATTTAATATTTTGGCAGTAAAGCCAAAAACTGTTCAAACCGCAAATACATAACTGTAAAGTCCAATGAAGTCTGCTACTGCTACCTACCTTTCAAATTCTTTGAATTTTTTTTTTTAGGTTCTAGTGGCTCTCAAAAGATCTGTGAATCACCTAGAAATTATATAGGGAAAAAAAAGAAAACAGCTAGCAAAGTAAAGCAATGGCAAGCATCCCCATCTCAGGTGCTGCCAGCGGCAGGCATGCTGTGGGGAGGCACTGGGCGCTCTTTAAAGCAAAGGACATTTCAGACCCCAGTTCTGAACCGGCGATCAGAAGAGAAAAGCTGAAGCCACATCAGGGAGAGATATACCAAGAAAAGCTGGCTAGGACAGAAATAAACACAATGGGCCTCACGGCAAGCAACCAAAGATACACTTCTACAGTTGTCTTTTGTTCGCCTCATAGGCCACTATACAAGAGCGGAGCACTGTGGTCCCTCCTGCTAACTCATCTGAAAGGAATACATAAAACTCCTTAACAAAACACATGAACAGAGTTGCTGCTTTTCTAGCAGGCAGCCACTGAAAGCCAGAAGCACCCTGTGAGATGGAGGTTTTGCTCGCATTAGGACAGGTGAACATCATCTTTAGACTGATAAGTTTACAGTCTTTCACTTTGGTAGTTTGGGGCCTGTCCAAAACATTCAAATCTCAAGAAAAGAGGCTGAACGTTACACTCCCCTGCAGTTTTTTTTCTGCTGAGGAAGCTGGTTTTAGCAGCTGAGACATCTGGAACCAAGGGAAATATCCTCCAGCACTTCCAATATGTTTCCAGTATATATTTATTCTTATTTCTGGGCAGAAGTGAAGATTTTGCTGCCAGCATCTGCAGACATCACCCTCTGAGTGCAGGGGCACCTCTCCAGCATGTGCAAGCTCCCACTCAAGCTAGCATTCAAGATCCAGTTCATCTTGCGGCCATGCTTGGAGGATGCCTGGTAGGCATGGCGGGAGAAAGGACATCTGAGCTCCCATTTCCCAGGGGCACGGGTCCAAGTGTACCCTCACCTGCCCCACGGGGCGGCCAGGGCCTGCCAGGGCTCTCCTGCTGCTCCACGTCTTCCACATATCCCTTGCAGCAGTGTCACCGGTTTGGCATCAGGCAGGCAAGTTGAGCAGGCTCCTTCCTAGCCAGTCACACCGCCACTTGCCTGAAAGCCACAGGGAACGGTAAGGGTCTGAGCCCCAGTGCTGCCCTACTTGTCTAGGAGGCAAGAACTTTGCGTCTTCCAGTTTTCTCTCAGACTTGCGGTTCTCTGGAGAGCATCGTGGTGGGTTCAGGGTCATGGCCCAAGACCCTAAATACCAAGCGGAGGGACCCGCGTGTAAAATCAGCTCTCTGAGGGGAGCACCACACATCCTACATAGCTCCCCGTGTTCGTAGAGGACACATAGCCATCCAAGCACAGGTTTGCTGAGCTCCCCTTTGCCCCTTTCCCACGCCATTGCCACTGGCCAAAGCGCACCATGTCATGCAGTTCCTGACACGCGGTGGCTCTGCTTCAGGGACCGTGCCTGCTTCTTCTCATCTTACTATGTCCTGAAACCTCCAGGGAGATACTGCAGTAGATGAAACGCAGTGTCAGCTAGTGCTCTCTGTGAAATCAATTAACACAGGGGTATCAATACTGTTTTATAAATATTTCCTGAAAAACCTGTGCTTGGAACTGCTCACCCCCAAAGGCAGTAAACATTCCAGAACTGTCATAAAAGATAAATACATACATACATACATATATAAATATATGTATAAAAATATACGTGCATGCACACAGTCAGGCCTATCCACAGGCAGGACATTTTTAATGCTCTGAAAACTGGGCTGTAGTTTTTAAACCAAAAGTGAATATACAGCGCTTAAAGTAATTTGTGGTGTTGTTTCTCTTTACAGCCATCAGCTATGCAAGACTTGTATGCTGGCAGTGTGCTTTTTCATGCCTCTGTTGTTGTTTTTAGTTAGAAAAAACACTCTAGACCTTTGGTCTTCCCTATACAAATCAGTCACTTCGCATTTAGATGGATAGGTGGCTTGACAAGAAAAGTTATTTTATTATCTTCTTAACAAGAAAAGTTACTTTTCATCTTATGCTTTATGATGTTTCTATAAAGATCTACATAGTGATAACCTATGCTGCTACTTCCCCAGCTTAGAGCAGAAGTGTGCCCCTGCTTTGGCTGTAATAAGTGGCACTTGCTTGCAGGTGCTTGTTAGAGCCTCTAACCAGTTTCGGGAGGCTGCTGCTGGCTCTTTCTAGCATTCTAGCACCTTTTGCAATTTACAGCAGCTGGGTATTGTAAATTTAGTTTCAGAGCTGTCTCAGTGGCCTGTGATCCTCGATTTCCAGTAGTGTCTCCACATAGTCTGTGGATGTCTTGGGAAAGGGACCTCGAAAGCATTCAGAGGAGAAAGACTGATCTGTTTCTCCATTGGCAAATTATGGCAGTGGATGGGTTGCCTGGTATGTCTTTTCAGGCTTCATTTCCTCTGGGTCATGATGTTATAGAGAAATCCACGGTCTATATTGTTCAGAGGAATCAGATCTCACCTCAGCCTGGTCTATAAAAGCCAGCAAACATTAACCATAAGCCGCCTCAAATTAGTGATGTCACCTGCATATAGTACAGCAAGAGGACTGTAGGACCGATAATGCACTTGGTGTTTGGGAAGTGGACAAACTGTGCACGCGATGACAAACTGTAAAGAGCAGGTTTGTCACCTCTGGCTCTTGCGATTTGATGCTGATACCAGAAGAATGGCAGATTGGAGGGAGCAAGGTTATCCCTTATGGATGCCAAACCAACAGTGTCTGGGACGAACTGAGGCTAGTGAGTCCTTGAACTGACCCTAGTCATGACATATCTCAGCTAGCCTGGAGAGAAGTACACAGACGGTCCATAAACTGGCTTAATTTTTGCCTGAGTACTCCAAACCATTCAGAGTGTGAGTCTTGTCTCCTGCTACCTTCTGTCTCCCAGTCTTCTTCCACGGTTGGTCTTGCTTTTCTTTCTCTATCTCTCTCTCTCTCTCTCTCTCTCTCTGAAAAGATGTCAGTGTAGTTGGCATTTTCTGCAATGTCGCTGTGAGGATGTTATCAGTGAGGTGGCTAAGGACAGCATCTTAAGCAGTTCGGTGCTCATCCAAGCTCCCCAGCCCTGAGCAGGCTGCTCAGTCCCTGTGCGAGGCTTGTCAGTGTCCGTGCCAGAGCTCACAGACCTTCACTGCCCTCCCGGGTGATACTGGGTGATGAGCTACTGCTCTCACAGCGGCATTTGTTGTGCTAAATTGCACAAACAAAAGGAGCCCAGAACCTCCCTGGTCTGTTTGTTCCTCTCTCTTTGTGGCTTTGTAGGGACAAACAAGGAATCTGCTGAGGGATGAATGAGGAAGGGTGGCACAATTTGTTTCGTTGTGTTATTTATGTCCTGAGGTGGAATGGAAGGGACAGATGAAAAGGGGCAGAAGGAAGGCAAAGGCAAAGGTGCTTCCGCACCTTGCTTTGCGGGAGAGATGGTGGTCGCGGACTCCATTGCAGGGAACTTGAACTCTCTCCACAGTGCAGAGCGAGAGGCAGGCGAAGGACAGATGACTGCCCCACTCTCCGGCTTCTTCCAGCTTACCTGCAGGCAGACTCTTAGCTGTTTGCTACCACCTCCTATCACCAGATGAGGACAAAACACAAGCTCTCCCACCATCAGGGCTGTGAGATTGACTCCCTGAGGGCAAGTACTGCTTTTTAAGGCATCACCATAAACAGCTGGAACAGACTTTTCTGAAGCTGCTCAGGGCTCCACCAGAGACCTGTCAGCTCCTGTAGAGTGGCTAAAGAGATGCAAGGCATTACGGCCCTCCAGCTACTTGCTACTGCAGCCCAGCTGAGCCACTGCAACAGGCTGCATGAGCCCTTCAGTCAGAGCCAGCCTGGTTAGCTCAAATGATTGCTGGTGAGGGATGAGAAGGGTTTTGCAGGCCATCTCACCTGCCCAGCAGTGCTCAGGTTGTCCCTAGGTGACACAAGGTCACCACTGGGTGGGGATACGACATCTGACTGTCCCCTCCACCATATGCATTTAGGAAGGGGATGTTTTGTCATTTTCAGCTTAACACAAAACAGAAATAAAAAGTATTGTAGATGGGGCTGCTAAGAAGGTATCTCTTCAGCAAAGCTGGCATAAGAGGTCCCCGGCCTTTACCTTCCACTCCCTCATGCCATGCATTTATCTCAGGGCTATCTTTAATCTAGCTCATTTCAGTGATGTGGTTTATGTCAAGGACCCACAGATCATTCATTTTTAGCTGGGGCCAACGGAAGAAAGGGTGGTCAGGGTGGGAGGGCACCTCTTTCAGGGGCAGTGGCACACTGATGAGGCCATGTGCTTGTAAAGCCAAATATGGAAAACTGGTGACCTGTGGAGGAAGCACAGGAACAGGCAAGCAGCTTTCATTGCTAAATAAAAGGGAAGTGGAGCTACACCAGTTTGAAACAGCTTCTCCAAAGTGTCTGCTTCTTCTAGAGCAATTTCTGAAAATATGCGACTCTGTAATAAAGGGCTGGGTTCCTGACTCATGAGAAGCAGTTTAGTTTACAGAAGCAGCACTCCTGGGGCAGACTAATCTGCTGTGTGTTAAACAAGCATTTCTTGATGGGCTGCTCCCACGTAGCCAGGGCCTGTGTCCACTCCTTCACTTCCTCCCCAATTCCTCAGCAGTGAGGCACCTACCCAGGCTTGATCAGCCCCAGATGTGAGTGGGCTGGATGGCTGAGCTGGGGCGTGAGAATCCGTGCCGGAAAACATCGTATGTCATGACTAATACTGCCATATGAGCTGCCAGTGCTTCTGGGATGCATCAGGAAGATCTCTGTGTTGCAGGAAGGTGAGCTACTTTATAATTATTCCCTGTGAACTGCAGGAGAACTTGCCTTCTCTTCTGGGCACGGATGAGTAATTACAGGCAGACACTGGGGGAATAACAGTGTGTAAATGACTTGGCCTACGTCATTGCTGCAGAGCTAAGGACTTCTCAGCCACTGGCAAAGTGGCACCTGGGTTCTTGCTGGCATGCCTAGCCGGCCCAGTTTGAAAGGGGCACCAAACCCAGCTGTGAAGGTATGTGGATGGATGGGAATTACTTAAAGAACAAGTTAACTCTGCCTTGAAGACCTGTTCTCTGCCAGTTCAAGAACCAGTCAGTTCCTTTCCACTGTGCATTCGAGCGATTTCTACAACATGCTTTGTTCCTCCAGCTGCTAGAATGGTTCCCATGCTCCCCCACATAAAGAGGGTTCTCCTTTACTGCATGTGATGTGGTGCTGTAAATGCTATGTGTGAGTTGCTGACAATATGCTGATATTTGACTACTGTTCGTTATTGGGATGTGAAGAATTACCAGGGGAAAACTGCTATGGTATGATATACGCTTCAGCTTAATCAAGTCCTTGTCCAGTGAAGTCAAGGTGAATTTTGATTTCTGCTAAGATCAGGCCTTCAAATATATCTGGGTCTTTCAAGGAAGTGAGGTCCATCATTCAAGCCTAATTTGAAAATGCTATTTTCAACTTTTTTTCCTACAATGAAATAATACATCTTCTTGCTTTCAGCTCCAAGTCTGCTGTATTCCTAGGGTGGCCATGCAGTCAGGTCTAACCTAGGGTGAGGAGGATGAGGCTCAAGGAGCACACACACCACAGCATCTATCTCTGATCTGGCCATTGGCAATCCAGGTAGTCGTTCCTGAGCTCATTACCACAGTGATATTAAAAACAGCAATATTCCAACACAGTTAAGCCAAACTCAGTTTAGGTTCTTTGTCTGTGTCTGACCCCTTAAGGGTCCCTGGTTTTCAAGATCTTCCTGACACCCATGAAGCTAAGAACCTTATTCTTAAAATGTAAAAGCAGAGGGAAGGGATGGAAATTGGAAGATGTCTTTTAGACTACTGCGTACCGTCAGGTGTTACTGCCTCTCCCTGTCTTCAGTGCTGAGCTGGAGACTCAGAGTCTCCCCAGAAAGACAGACTTTAAGATACTCCACATACCAAGAGATTTGCAAAAAAATCTCCACACCCTGAGGGCTAGAAGCACTGCTGCCTTCATTGCCCTTGCAAATATAATGGCTGAATTAGCCCAGTTTTTCAAGGCATCTCTTGGTTTCTTTTGAACAAGAACAGAATCAAGTACAGCAAGTACTGAGGTTGGCCAACATATTTTCAGACCTACCAGTCTTTGACAGTGTCTCTGACATATTGATTAACACATATTTGCCAGAATCTCTTAAAACTCCAAACATAT